GCGCCCTCCGCGCGTTCTGCTGCCCTGCGTACGTCTCGCTTCCTCCTGCGCCGGCTATACGTACGGCCCCACATGACATCTCCCCCCTCAAGACTCAGCTCGTCCTCGAGCTGAAAGGTGGGGTACTTGGCGCGGAAGGAGTCTATGTCCTCCCACGTCGCAGAAGCTGATGACTCCCCTTTCCACTGAATCAAAACCTGACGAATGCCGCGCGCCAGGCGAAACCGAACAGCGCGCTCTGGCTCCGGAACGATGTCACCGTGGTGGAGAGGAGGTAGCGCCTGAGGACAGCCGGTGGAGGACCGCTGAACTTCTTGAGCAAACCAATGTGGAACACATCATGGAGTCGGGCGCGGGGAGGCAGCTCAAGACGAACGGCCACGTCGTTGATCAACTCCACGACGCGGTACGGCCCGTAGAAGCGGGGCTTCAGCTTGCCCGAAACGGCCTGAGGAAGAGACGAGGCCGCACGATGGCGCAGGCGGAGCAGAGCCCAGTCGCCCACCTGATAGGTAACTTGGCGATGGTGCTTGTCGTAGTGCAACTTCTGAACGGCCTGAGCTTGCTGCAGCCGGTAGCGGATGTCTGCGAGAAACTCCGCCCGCTCCTCCATGCTTTTGGCGACGGCAGCAACACGAGTGTCCCCAGGTTCGTAGGACCGGATGGAGGGCGGATCCCGGCCATAGACGACGCGGAACGGGGTGTCCCGTAGCGAAGACTGGTACGCCGTGTTGAAGATGAACTCCGCCCATGGAAGCCAACGAAGCCATTGTCGCGGACGGTCCCCTGTCAAGCAACGCAGATACATAATAATCACCCGGTTAGCGGACTCGGACTGCCCATCCGACTGTGGGTGGAATGCCGTCGTCATCTGCAACTTGGTGCCCATTAGCCTCATGAGTTCGCGCCAGAACGTCGAGGTGAAGACGGGGTCACGGTCCGACACCATGGACTGCGGAACACCGTGCAGCCGGACAATGTCGGTGAAGAACGCCTGCGCGACGGACTCAGCCGAGTACGGGTGCGACAGAGGGATGAAGTGGCAGTATTTGCTGAACCTGTCCACCACCGTCAAGATGACGGACTTGCCGCGCACACGGGGCAGCGCCTCGACGAAGTCCAGAGCGATGTCCGTCCACACCCCTTGGGGTATCGGCAGGGGCAGCAGGAGGCCGGCTGGGTTCAAGTGCTCGGATTTATAGCGTTGGCACACCACGCAGTCACGCACCCAATCCTGGACGAGCTACTTCATGTTGGGGATGTGGAAGTCACGCCGGAGGCGGTGTAGCGTGCGCTGGACACCCTCATGCCCATCCTCGTGAGTCGCTTCAATGATCTCCCGCGCCAATGGTGAGGACGGCGAGATGTACAGCCTGCCGTTGAACTGCAGCAGGTCATCAACCAGCGCCCAGGGACCCGCGCGTGTACCAGCGCCTATCTCGTCGCGGATGGTGATTAGCGCCGGATCCTGCCGCTGGGCTTCGTGCAGCTTGCGGACGAAATCGAAGCGGGGCGCTGACAGCGCCAAGACGGCGCCTTCTTTCGTATCGCGATGGGACAGAGCGTCGGCGACGTCGTTCGCGGCGCCTGGCTTGTACTCCACGGTGAAATCAAAACCCAACAGCTTGCCCACCCAATGGTGTTGGGGGATGGTGGCTAGCCGCTGGTCCAACAAGTACTTGAGGGAGTAGTGGTCGGTCTTGACGACGAAGCGCCGGCCCCATAAGTATGGCCTCCAGTGGCGGACGGCGTGAACCAAGCCGATGAGCTCACGTTCATAGGCGGCGAGGGCACGGTGACGCGGGGCGACGGGGCGACTGAAGTAGGCGACAGGATGGCCCTCTTGGACCAGAACGGCGCCGAAACCGTGCGTGGATGCGTCGCACTCGACGGTGAATGGCTTGGCGAAGTCTGGCATGGCGAGGACGGGCGCCGATGTCACCACGGCCTTGAGCGCGTCGAAGGCTGCGGCGGTCTCCGCTGTCCAGGAGAACCCGTCCTTCTTGGTGAGGGCCGTTAACGGGGCGGCGATGGTACCGTAGTTGTGGACGAACTTGCGGTAGTATCCCGCGAGGCCGAGGAAGCTGCGCACCGCCCGCGCCGATCGAGGGACCGGCCACTCATGGATGGCCTGCACCTTGGCCGGGTCCATGGTGACGCCCGCCTCGGAGATGACGTGGCCGAGGTAGGCCACCGAGGAGACGCCGAAAGCGCACTTGGCGCGCTTGATGAAGAGCTGGTGCTGGCGGAGCATGGAGAGGACGGTGCGCAGATGTCGTAGATGGTCCGCCCAAGTCGCGCTGTAAATTAGAATGTCATCAAAGAAGACAAGGACAAACCGTCGGAGGAACGGCCGGAGCACGTCGTTCATCAGCGCCTGGAACGTCGCCGGAGCGTTGCACAATCCGAACGGCATGACGAGGAACTCGTAGAGCCCATCGTGAGTTCGGAAAGCCGTCTTGTGGATGTCCTCTGTCCGCATCCGCACTTGATGATACCCCGACCGCAGGTCGAGCTTGGTGAAGAAACGGGCGCCGTGTAGCTCGTCGAGCAGCTCGTCGACGACGGGGATCGGGAACTTGTCCTTGACGGTAAGAGCGTTGAGGGCGCGGTAGTCGACGCAGAAACGCCACGACCCGTCGGCTTTCTTGACGAGCAGGACCGGGGAGGAGAATGGCGAGTCGCTGCGGCGGACGACGCCCTGCTCGATCATCGCTGCGCATTGGCGTTCCAGCTCGTCTTTGTGCGCCGCCGGGTAGCGGTATGGTCGGACAGCAACGGGGACGGAGCCAGGCTTGAGGATGATGGCGTGATCGCGGCTCGCGGCGGAGGAAGGCCCTGCGGGTCGCTGAAGACGTCCTCGTAGGCGACCAGGAGCTCGTCCAGGAGCGTCCCACTGGCCGCGGCAAGGGTGCGCAGCTGCGCTGTAGGAGCCGAGGCGACCCCCGTCCAGGAGAAAGGCCGACCGCCGTACTGGAACGCCATCGAGCGAGTGGCGAAATCCCACACAATGGGCCCCAGGGTACCAAGCCACTGTGTCCCGAGCACCATGTCGTAACCTGCGAGAGGCATGACAAACAGGTCTGTATGGAATGTAGTGTCAGCGATGGTGAATGGCGGCGTGCGGATGACCCCAGGGCAGGCCACGCGTTCTCCGTTGGCGACGGTTGCCGTCATGCGCGGCTTGGGCTGGATGGGCAGGCCCGCACGCCGTGCTGCGTCCTCGCCGATGAAGCTGTGCGTCGAGCCGCTGTCGAGCAGGGCGAGGAGGGGGGCGGCGCCGACCGCCGTCTGGACTTGGATCGTGTCAGCAATGGGCACGCCCGCCACGGCGTGAAGGGAGAAAACGGGAGCCTCAGTCTCCCCGGTAGTAGCTGCTGCCGCGGCGACGTCGGCGGCCTCATCAATCTCCATGCCCTCGAGGAAGAAAAGGCGCCGGCAGAACCGGTTGTGGCCCCGGGAGTTGAAACAAAGGCCTTGACGGCGTCGTTCCGCCATCTCCTCTGGGGTGAGGTGCCGCTGGTTGGTCTCGCCACGACCCTGCTGGGATGCAGCCAACGGCTGAGGAGGCGCCGGCAGTACTGGCCGCGACGTGAGAGCAGGGTGGGGCGCGCGCTGGAGCGCCCGCGCGGGTTGCGGCGCCAGCCGGTCAGCTTCCATCAACTCCACCTGATGGGCTAAACTCATGGCAGCCGCAAGCGTCTCCGGGTAGTGAATGCGGACAGCGTGGCTGAGTGGCGGTAGAAGGCCGCCCGTGAAGAGTTGTACGCGTTGAGCCTCGTCGAGGTGACCCGCGCGAGGCAGGAGAGCCTGGAAGCGATTGGCGTACTCCTCCACTGTCCCCGTGCGCCGACATTCAGCAAGCTCGAACATCGGGGCTGAGCGTAGGGGAGGCCCAAACCGTAGGTTCAGGAGGTCCTTGAAGCGCCCCCACGTCGGCGTGCCCTCGTCTTCCTGGAGTTGAGTGTACCACAGCTGCGCGACGTCGTCCAGATGGTACGAAGCGCGTCCCACGCGTTCCTCCGCCATGGTGCGGTGCTGCCGGAAGTATGCCTCGCACTTGTTGAGGAAGAGCATCGGGTCTGTTGTGCCGTCGAAGCGGGGAAAGTCCCACTTTTTGTGCTGTGGAGGATGATCCGGCGCACGCGGTCCCTCCGATCGATGGTCACCGCCGGAGCCGGCGGACGACTCGGGTTTGTCCTTCATGGACGCCATGTCAGACTTGAGGGTCTGCATCTCCGCGTTCATAGCCTTCAGCATGTCCATGACCTCGGCGAGAGTAGGTTCAGACATGGTGGTTGGGCTGGTCGTGGAAGCGGCGGAGGCTGACGGCGATGGTGGCGGGCTAGGGTTTGGAGCGGCGGCTGTGGAGGGTTGGGTGGAGCGGGTGGGTGAAGATCGACGTGACTTTGATACCAGGTTGTCAAGGTCGTCAAATCCTCGACTAGCTGCACCGCGGCTACGGAGTTCGTAGCCATCGGCCGTCTTCTCCGGTGAGGTTATACCCCTCTACCGTAGGCTTAGGAGAGATATAGATGGGAGTAGGATAATATTCTTGCTTAATCCTCAAGTGTTCCGATTACAGCCTATAAATATGGCCTGAGGCCTTCACACGTAAGGAAACTAATTGATCCTATAATTAAGGACTAAAAACAGAAACCAACTAAACTACGTATCCAACTCAGCCGCCACCCATCGAGGCCGAGCCGTCCGCTGCGCCGCGCGCGCCCAACGCGCCCTCCGCGCGTTCTGCTGCCCTGCGTACGTCTCGCTTCCTCCTGCGCCGGCTATACATACGGCCCCACATGACATAAACAGCCCTGGATTTTGGAGGTATTGAAATGATTTAAGATTGTTTGATGGTATATTTCTAAAATTGAGACAATCTTTCAATGTCACAGATCCAAATTTCCATAAAATGAGATGTTTTGCACAATAAATACACATTGGTGATTATTACAAGAATGCTGATTGCAAGACATTAAACATAACTAGCTAGACTAGCAAGCTACATGTGGCTGCTTCTGATCTGCAAACTTCACTCGCACGGGACGCCCGTCCAAAATCTGAAAAATTGATCCAAAATGAACAGTTTATCATGCATGTGTGTCTAGGTGATCCTTCATTCATGGCATTGATTGGCTAATTAACTATTAAAAAAAAGTAAGCATTAATAAATATGTACCTGTCCATCCAGCTTAGCAATAGCATGTTCCTGCTCATGCTCATGATCAACTACAGTCGCCAAGGTCACAAACCCAAAACCTCGTGAACGCTTGGTTTTTATGTGGCACATGACCCTTGCTTCTGCTACCTTGCCATACTTGATGAAGAACTGTCCCAGTCGATAGCTATCCACATTCCGTGGCAGATTGCCCACATAAATCCTGAAATAAGGTCCGAATTGTGGCCCTCCTGCAGCCTTTGTGTGTGAAGGCTCAATCATCTCTCTAATTTCCTGCATGTGCATGCAATGAATGTTACTACTAATGAATGCTTGTTAGTAGAATATATATATATATATATATATATATATATATATATATATATATATATATATATATATATATATATAGGGTAAGGCTATTCTGCGGCTGGCCATAGAATAACTTATTCTATAGCCACCTTGATTTACGATAATATTTGAACCAATTTACGATAACATGAATATGCATTTACGATACTCGTGTTACTACAACTCACGGTGATATTTATCATAATTATAGTAAATCACTTAGTAAGGAGTTATTGTAGTCTCGTAAGTTAGCATAGTAATTATCGTAACTCAAAGTGGCCACAGAATAAGTTATTCTATGGCCAGCTTATATATATATATATATATATATATATATAAGATAAACAGATATGAATTGTTCTTCTAGAAACACTACAAATTCTGTATAAACAATTAAAGATGAGATCGTGCAATCTCAGATTTGCACTTGATTACCTCAGTTGAAGCGATGGAAGGTTGTGGCGGCGTGAGCCACATGCAGGCGTCGTTGTCCCATTCAGCCGGGAGCTGCTCGATGAGTTCTGACCTATGGTCCAGGAAGCTGTACTTGAACACACGGCAGCGTTTGACGGCCAACTTGCTCCAGATCCCCCCATAGAGCTCGCTCTTGAGGACGAAATAGGCGCAGCCACCACCACTGATCTCGCCAAACCGCGCGGCATCCACAGCAAAGCTGCTTGGACTCCCGAGGAACATGACGCGATCAGCCAAGCTCGGGCCGTCCCTCTTCACCCACTGTGTTTTTCCGCCTTCCGCCTCCTGCAGCGCGTGGACTGAAACCGACAGCCCGTCCACAAAGCTGGCTATGGTATAACTGTGCGCATGATTTGCTAGGACATTTGCTAGAAGAAGCTCGCCTCGAGACTCCAAGAGGTAGCTGGCCTGCAATGCCTTGCCATAATGAGATGGCAATGGGGTTACCCACTGGCCGTGGTCGACCTGCCTTGTCTCAATGTAGTGCGAACACCAGTTCCTGTAGCGTGCGACGATCTTCCCATCGTGATGGGCAATGCAGCTGCAGGGGTCGTCTCCTATGGAGGATATGCCCAGGTACTGTTTATGCACCATTGTCCACGCCGTATCGCCAGGACGCAGGAGGGCAGCGTTGAACACCGGCAGGTAATACGACCTGCGGTGGACGGGACCAAACAAATATAGAAAGATTGTGCCGTCGCCGCAGACCACGGCATCGGCGTGGTCCACCCACCACTTGATCTCATCGTCACATGAAAAGGGAGGTAGGGGTAGGGGTGTGGCCGATGCAGATGAAGCAGATCCAGTGAGAGGGTCGGCGACATCGACGCCGGCGGTGAGGCCGCTGCCGCTAGGGCCGGAACCGGAACAGATACTGGTGAGGGTAGAGACGGCAGTGCCGTCTACCAGGCTGATCACCCACCTCCTATCTCGAACCGATATCTCAGTGGCGGCGCTGGTGCCACGGCGGGTCGATCTGGAGGAGGAGAAGACGCAGCGAGCCATCCGGTGCTTGGCGGAGTCCGGCGGCGCGAGTAGCCATGGCAGGAACGCGGGATAGCACGGCGCCGGCGGAAGCGTGTCGCGCCAGGGCTTGCACGTGGCGTGGAAGCGGACGTAGTCGGTGGTGGCGTGGAGGCGGCGCGAGATGTCGCGGAGGAGATCCAAAGGGAGGTCCGCCCATGGCCGCCAGAGCGCGTCGTCCGGCAGACCTGCTGCGTCAGGCATCACGAATCCGGGATCCCTCCCAACAAGGGCTGCATCGTGGTTGAGTTCCTATTCCTAATGTCAAGGGCTGGGCTGGGCTGGGCTGGGCCGTCAGGACACATCCCAAACTGTCAATGATTTGTCAGTAGCGGAGGCAAGCAAACGGTGGCCACACTTGGACCAGCAGACGCTTGTTATAGGTGCAGTGCAATCTTTATCGCAAAATTATCTCGCAATCACCCTTGTTTCGAAGTCCCTGTCTCAATACCACCTACCAATCACGGCTTCCTAGCTTAGCGGCGTTAGTGCACCTTCCTTGCTCCTAAGTGGATAGCACTTTCTTTCCATAAATTGGCAGGGACAACACGCTAATCAAAAGAGGATTTTCAGTCCTCTGCTCTAACCAACCAGAACCAAAAAGGAGGATGATTTCTTGCATCATAGGTGTTGCTGCGTCTTGAGTTCCTAATTGTCATGGTTTCGCAACATCACAAAGAGCGATTGTGAGGAATCGACATTCTAATGAAAGAAGAATCAATGGAATTTCCCATGTTTTTCAGCTCTGCTCCCAAAACAAGTGAGAAAGGAGACTGATCTTGACGTCGGCATTGGTTTTTCCAATGAAAAACAAGAACATTCAAACACGGACTTCAATGAAAAAACAAAATGCTAGTTGCTATTCCGCGTTTGTCCGATGGACTTTGGCCAATGAGATTACTATACGCTTTTTCAGAGGAACTTGAAAAGTACATTCCATACCACCACTAGGTATCATGATATTCCCTCCCGGAAGGGTTAAGCACTTCTCCTGGTTAGCCATGCATAAGCGCTGTTGGACAGCTGCTCGACATCAGCGCCATGGATTGTAGGACTCCGATTCTTGCATTCTCTGTGATCAAACACCCGAGGAGATCGATCACTTGCTGCTAAGCTGCGTCTTTAGTCCGACAGTTTGGGCAAAGGTGCTGAATTCCATTGGAATAGGGAGCCTTGCACCACAGGACCATGTGTGCTTTTGGTCTTGTGGCTACTCTCTAGGAAGTCCATACCGAAAGACTTCAGAAAGGGATTTGACTCGCTGGTAATGGTGGTTGGTTGGCTAGCTCTCTGGAAAGAACGCAATGAAAGAACTTTTAGGTGCGAGTCAATAACTGCGGACGCTCTACTTCAGGCCATCGTTGATGAATGCAGGCTATGGGATTCTGCTGGGTTCAGGCACCTTCGTGGTTTGCTCCCGTGGTCACGAATGCTTCTACACTATAGGATGGCCTCGTTGTCCCAGGCGGTAACGGCCTTTAGTCCCGGTTACCACGTCGGGACAACGATCCCGGGACTAAAGGTGGAACCTTCAGTCCCGGGTCATCGAGTCGGGACTAAAGAGGAACCTTTAATCCCGGTTGGTGTTACTAACCGGGACTAAAGGCCCTCTAGCCGAGCAAACGTGGCCGCACGCTTTAGTCCCGGTTGGTAACCCCAACCGGGACTAAAGGTTCATTTTCTTTTTCTTTTTTTTTGTTTAATTTGTTTTCAGTTCAGTTACACATATTTGTTTAATATATAATATATTTTTATGTACGTATTCTACGCTGCTAATATAAATAAATGCACGCATATAATTACATCTAATTCTCATCTCGAGCATTATTATATTCGAATAAAGTATGAAACTATATATATTATAGATATATATGTATATATACAACACTTTCATAATCTTGTTCTCGAAAATAACGATATCAATAAACATTTAATTTACATTATTTATTCCTTAGGATCAAAGTAGAACTCGCCGTTGGGATTTAGCACTTTTTCTAGAAGAAATCCTGCTATTGACTCTTGAGCTGCTTTCAGATGGTCTTTTTGTATGACCCTTTGTTTTAACCATTCAGTCTTGCATTTGAAATAAAAGGAAAAGTATTAATACATATATATATATATTCATTTAAAAATAAATAAAAAATTGATATATACGTACTCTGATGACATCTTTAGGAGTTCTTCTTATGTGCGCAGTGATAAATTCACAAACGTAGTATCCACACAAGTTATTACCTGGTTGCTGCCGCAAACACCACTGTACGAGAAGAAGATTATTCTCATCATCTCACATGTAAATTGAAGTACGATATAGTAATTAAACACGTGGGGAAGTATATATAGTACAACTTACTGGTATTTCAACTACATTAAGTGGTGCCTTGCAATCCTTGCGGTGTTGCCGAATAAACTCTTTTCAAACCCTGTGCGACCAATAATATACGATCGTTAATAAATTATGACAAAGTCTATTAATAATAGTTGTGCGCGAGAGATCAAAATTACCCCTGGATAATGTCTATCATATCTTGGTATAGTGCCCGCTCTTTTCTCTTCGAGTCCAAGATTATTAACCGACTTGAGTTTAACTCAATGACAATGAGTATCCAGTGAAACCTACATTGGTTTATACACACACGTACATGCATATAAGTTGTATTGATATTACATAAAATGTGTAGACTACATTATTATTAACACTTACTCAAAGTTGTACGGAAAAAGTATTGTTGTCTTGTCGTGCTGCTTCACGAAGAACCTCATGATATTCTTCTGTGCTTCAGATACCCACTGCTCCTTGGGAATAATATCGGTTTTGAATATGATATAAGGATCAATGAGCCAACACTGGTGTCTTGTATTCTTTGGAGCTCTGACATATAGAATCTGTATATAAATATAAGTTACATGTGAGGATAATTATATACACGTACGCATGGAAGTGAGTTTATTAAATAAAAATAAGAATCACTTACAAACAAAAGGAGCTAATGATTGATTTGTCCAGAGCGTCCATGTGGCATAGTTGATGCAATTCTTCGAAACTAATATGTAAGATGTCATCACCACAGAAGTAATGATGGTCTCTAAATCTGACAAAGATCCACTCCTCACCCCTACCACACGCCTGCATGTACCACTTGTTAAGCAAGTACATTTGCGTACCCAATTCATTCAGAGCCACAGGGTTGTACAGACTTTTGCCAAATTTATAAGTCTTCCAGGTATCAACTTCCAGGTTCTGGATTGGAGCTTTGCCCATCAATTGATCCAAGGTTAAACCAATATCTTTAAAAAAAGCATTAAGGTCTTCAACCGAGCACTTTTCGAGTTATGCGGTCGATAGACTTCTATGTTGGAACCATATTCATTAGTAACAACAAGATTTTGTATTGGTTGCTTACATTGTCCGAAATTTGTGGGACATCCTTCCACGATGCTCTTTTCCTTTTCTTATCGCATCATGTGACTTCACAAGGGAGCGGTCATAGTCGATAGTGGCGGAGGCTTACGAAGTTCAAGCATCTTTTTCTTGTGATCTTTGACCTTACGCCTCAATGAGATCTCGTGGTATGTAAAAGTATGGCTTCTCCTTAAGCTTCGCTTGTCTCGCTTTTGATATCTATAAAAAAATCTTTCACTTTTTTGTCTTCTTCATTTGCTATTTGCTCATCGGTCTTTTGAAAGTATTTCTTGAGAAATAACTCTTTTTTTGGGGTCTTCTTTACCGCTTGGGACCTTAGAGCGTCTCAGAGTAGTGCTGTAGCTGTGTGGAGGGTGGGGGCGGTGTTGGAGACCGGCGTGGAGGCGATGAGGCCGGTGTTGGAGACCGGCGTGAGGCGTTGGAGATCGTTGTGGAGGCGGTGGGGCGGTGTAGGAGTTGGAGATCGTTGTGGAGGCGATGGGGCGGTGTAGGAGTTGGAGATTGTCGTGGGGATGAAGTCGTCTCGCCCCCATGACACTTGTGATGAGATAGGAAATGAATGATTGGGCTAATTTGGGGAGACCTGCTACAAAAACAAGTTGTGAGTCAATTATTTTTGAAGCTAATATAAAATTAATGGAAAATAATATTTCATTCACTTTCATTCGTACCTAGGGTGAGGTAGGGGAAGCGGTGGCGTCCCAGAAATGATGATGAAACGTTTGCGCCATTTAATAAATGTCTTCTGCTTCTCCTAGTGTTTTCTCCCCATCACCGCCTTCAATGTCAAGAGGAACATTGTTTGTAACCTTTGAGCACTCTATCGATGAGACGCTAGCATATCCAAAGTTGAATAAGCGACCCATGGATTCTTGGTGTCTTTGTTCGGTCTATTGGAGAAACAACCCGACTGACCACCATGATTGATGCATTATTACCATCCGGAATGTGCAGCTCACATGTTGTTAGAGGCTCGGTAATGTCATCAACAGGAAGCGCAACCCAGCGCGTCATCTTGAATAAGCTGGCAGCTCAGGTGGAAGCACAAGCGCTTTTCATCTGACCAACGGGGCTAATGGTGACTCCCAACGTTGATTGCGATTGCATTTGACTCATTGCTAGCTGCACTTACCTCTTGATCTCCTCCTGTATTCTTGCCTCAAGAAATTTTTCTCGTTCACGTGATTCAAGCAATGCTTGTCATGACTCATTAACAAATTGCTCCAATACACGGATTCGGTCTGTCTCCTCATTCTTCTTTCTCTAGCGGCTTCTGTAGGTATCCTTGTCTGCTGGAAATGCTTGTAGCAACGGAACCGCCCCATAGCCTCTTGTTCGACCACCGTGTTCAGGATTCTCTAGGGCATATGTCAATTCATCCTTCTCTCTGTTGGGCTTGAAAACACCACTATTAGCTTCTTCCCTAGCACGAACTAGTCTCTGTGTTGCTCTCTCAATTTTTTGGCTAAAAATTAGCTTGCCAGTGTCTGGGTCTAGGCTTCCCCCATGAGCGTAGAACCAATTCTTCGCGCGTTGAGGCCAGTTCTTCTCTATTGTTTCAGGTATGATTCCCTTGGCAGTAATCTCTGCTTTTAGGTTCTGCCACTTGGGAATAGTACTCCTATAACCACCTGATCCCATGCGATGATGGTATTGCTTCTGTCGGACATTCTGTCGATTCCTCATCACACGTTCATCACTCTCTTGAGATGTCTTGTATTGTACGAAGTCATCCCAATGGGACTCCAACTTGACAAACGCCTTAGCATTGAAATCTGGC